AAACAAGCAGCTTCCTCTTGGGGGCGCTCATGTGCGTAGGGCACCTCCCCTGCCAGGCACCTGGTTGTGTTCTACGAGCCTACCCAGCCTGCAGCACTATGGTAATCCTGTTTTGACGTGAAAGGTGAGCTAATTTTCAGGATCTAGCAGGTTGTTTCCATTAGGAGGAGACAATCAGGGTGGAATCAAGTCAGAGGTCTTCTAGCTACAAGCAGCTGCCTAAGGCAGCCGATTTGGCAGCTCCTTCACGGGGCCGTGAGCACGGGTGTGTACTTGGCGCGGTTCACCCCAATCCCGGACACCTGCCCCTTTTGCGGCATGAGGGAAACCCTGGCGCACGTCTACCTGGAGTGTGCCAGGTTGCAGCCCCTATTCTGGCTCCTCACGAATATTTTGTTAAGGTTTTGGTTGCACTTTTCTCCTCACCTCCTTATCTATGCACTCCCTATCCGTGGCCCCACTAAGTCGCGGGACCTCCTAGTCAACCTCCTCCTGGCCCTGGCTAAAGTGGCCATCTATAAAACCAGGGTGAGGACGTTGGCTGATGGAGTCTCCTGCGACTGCGGGGCCTATTTTGGATCCTCTGTCCATTCACGCCTCTGGGCAGAGTTCCTCTGGGCGGCGTCCACTGACTCCCTTGACGCCTTTGAGGAGCGGTGGGCGCTGTCCGGGGTTCTCTGCTTGGTGTCCCCGTCCGGTTCCCTTCGTTTGACCCTTTGACCACACTCCCGTTCCTGTTGTTCATTAGTTGTCCTCCGTAATTATTTGGTTTCCCAGGTCCTGTGGATCCCCCCCTTAGGCTTCGCCCACCCACTTCCTGGATCCCGATAAGGCAGCCGATTTGGCCCAGCTGCCTTTCTCCTGTGACAGAAGAAGGGCAGCCAACTGGCCAAATTTGAGTGGCATGGAGAATGGCATACTGAATTGTTGTCCAGGATAGCAGATTGCCTTGAGCAAGCTCCTAGTCAGGTAGTTCTTTGATGCAATCTTCTTTATTTACGAAGTCCTGTTTCCTTGAACACAGTAAAAATCAAACAACAGGAGATAGTTTTCTGTCTCGCAGTTACAAGCCTCCTTCAGACAGCACTTTACCCTAGTGCTTTTTCTCTTGTAGCTTTTTTCTTAGGGTCTTGCTACCAGGGCTTCTTTGACCAGATATAGGCTTCTTTACTCCATTTCTGTCTGCTTCTCTCGTGCAATGCAAGCTCCTCCACCAACCAATACCCTACCCCTGGAATTTTGTATATCAGTCTCCAGGGAAACTCTTTGGGGCACATGTTTCAGCTTCTACTCAAGCCTTGCAATGTGCCCGTTTTTTGGCTCCTGTTGTTTCAGTTTTCCGGTTCCATAAAGGAGCTTGGTTGTTCCTTACATTTATCTTGATGAAGCCCACCAGCTTTAATAAAGTTTCATCCAACCTCCTAGCATAATAATGTATAAAAGTTTGATTCCACTTAGGGACATGCTAGGAACTATCTATCTTCTGGGTTGTGGGATGTGGGCATTATTTGCCATTTTAACCACCAGCCCTTTAAGAAATGTGCTACAGTCTATACCACAGCAACAACTCAGTGGCTAAATGGGAATATTTACATAAATTAACATTATTTTACTGGAGTGCTCATAAGTAGTTCCTGTGAATAATTTGGTAAAAATTCAACATAGCTTTTATCGTTTTGCAGAGGAATATGGATGGTAAGAATCTTTCACTTTATTCCTTTGTGGGTGTTTGTATGAAGCATGTATTCCAGCAATAGTTGTTTTATAATGACTAGAGGACATACAGCCTATCTGTCTCTCAGCACATGCACAGTGTGCCTAGCCATTTGATAGCATCGTCATCAGCCAGGTGAAAAGCCGGTAGCCAGCCATTGATGTCAAGCACTTGTCAAGGATATGCGACATAGTCTGAAGTTGACCGTATCTACACCGGGTCATTAGAGAAACCTAATTGGAAAAGATTGCCCACACAGTTGCTCTGTCCTGTTTGACACCGGTTTCAGGGATGACAACAAGTGTCTTGGTAGGTCAAAACCTGGTGGGCAGATAGTTGGGTTGGTGACAAGAGAGTGATTAATGACTGTTGTCGCTTACCACTCATAACACCAGATTCCACCATAATGTCTTGTGGTGGCATAAGTGACCATAAAGGGTGTCTAGAAGACAGGCAAACTGGTAGGTGGTTGAAGAGATCTGAGTACAGAGGCAAGTTGCTTGCCATGGACTTCAATGGGGCCAGGATTTTACCCATATTTATTTTTAAAAAATAAGCCCTGACTATAAGCTTCACAATTTACTTCTACCGAAAAGTGAACCTCAGCTACAGTCTTTCATTCTGGTAGTGTTAAAATTATACATATTTGCAATTGATCTTTTTCTCTTTAGTAATGAAGACTGAAATTATGCCAGGATGCATAGCACAAGGACTAAATTCTAGTATCCATGACAGGAGAGTAGATTAAATGGAAGCATCCCTGGTTCTGACAGCTAAATTCTAAAACAGTCCAAGAATAGTCATGTCTTATGTACACAACACAACTCTCCGAGCAGAGTAGAGACCATCCTAACCCTGTAAGCATCTAAGTTTCCACCAATCAGCATTTGCAAAGCTGCCTAAATGCTGATGCTGCTTCACAGGTAATGAGCTGTGCCGTGCATTTCCCAGTGTAGATCACTCACTTAGGATGCAGGAGACTCACGTTCACAATCCCTGCCTAATTCGAAGCAGTGACCTGAACCAGTTTTCAGTTCAAATAGCCTAACCAGCAGACTATGCTGCGGTGGACCTTTCTGCATCTCTGCTTTTGGAGCTGTTCAACTTTGTATTAATAATTAAATAAATATTCATCATGCCAGAAAAACTGACCCTACGGTCCACTTCCCTGCAATGTGGGGTTAAGTTCCTTCTATAACTCAGGTAGAGCAGGGATTTGAATCCAGTTCTCTCACAGCCTGAGTACCCTAACCACCAGGCTATTCTAACCACTTTGACTCTCATTTTGCACAAAAAACTCAAGGTATCAGTTTCATCCTGATGGGTTTAATTTGCTAAAGCATGGGCATCTTAAGTAGCTGACCTGGTTTAGACACCTAATTGTAGGACAGAATTCACAGCTGAGGATCCCAAGCTGACAGAGAGGTGCCTGTCTCTGAGGTGGCCCCTAAGCTGCTGTCCTCAGCATTTCACTCCACTCTAGTTGCTGGCTTCTGAGAATACCTTCCTTGGGCACTTAACATTCCCCTATACTCTATGGGGACCTGGGCACCTAACTTGAGACTGAAGATTCCACTAGACAGCAGACTTCCTAGGGGTTAGGCATTGCACCACAGAGTGGAGGTATGCCTAACTACCTTTGAGGATATGGGCCTTTTCGAAAAGAAATATAGGCACTTTGAAAAGAGACAAAGTACACTTCTACAATTTACCAGTGTTTTACAAGCTAGAAACGTATTCATGACTAATTCCTCTGAAACTCAGATATGAGATTTGGTAGCTATAGTAATTGCTCTATCATAAACCTTATGCTGTATTTCACAATTTACAGTTTAATGAGTGATATAATACAAAATTTAAAAATGAGCCAACATGACCCCAATTGAGTCTCGATGAAGCCACCTACACTTCTATGTTTTAATAGGGAATACATGAGTATCTGTAACTTGGAATAATATAAGTATCATCTTTCAAAACTTGTGTTAATTCTTAAATCTTCAGCTTTTATGTCATTTTCCTTTTTTCAGCATAACTATTTGCTTTTTTTAGTATTAACAATATTGCATCATTCTATTTTAATATTAAAATTTACTGGTTGCTACTAGAGCGGAGTCCTGCCATTCTTATCCTTAAACAGCAGAAAGCCATTATGTCACTAAAATATAAACTCATCCTAAAATATCTTCCTAATCATAACCAGCCATATGACTTTCCTCCCTCAACCACTCTATTTAACCCCCACCAACCTTTTTTTTTTTTTCTAGTTACATGGGTGCTCTCATCTCACTTATATCTACTTAGAACAAGATGCATCTGCTTCAGTGAGTCAGCAGAAATCAGTCTGGTGTGTTCTAACTCCAGCTAATAGGGTCATTCAACATAAGAACCATGCCACCCTCTTATGTCCACCTTTTTACAAGGCTTATGGGCTCATTCATGTTAAAACCTATATTTATTGTGAGTGTAACTCTGGATATCTTGTTTGAATTTATTTTTATATCTAACAAAATTATTGGTGTGTCTAAGAATGGAACAAAGAGCATCAGACATACACCTCTCTGCATCTCACTACTTTACTTGGTTGGCTATGGACTTTTTTTAAAAAAAATCCAAACGCACTTAGATCCTGATCCTGTAATGAGCTCTTAAGGGATACAGGGGTATGCTCACATATTGCTTATTGGAAGATGGGGTCTTTAGACTGTAATCCCAAAATGTTGCTCTAAGCATTATATCGCATTTACTCAATGCTCCTTTTTGCCTTTGAACAATTAATAGAATTGCTCTCTCTCTCATTTTGCATAGGTTTACATGTATGCCATTTATCTCTAAGACAGTGAAACTCATTTGCTACATTTTCACTGTAAATATTCTGTAAATTACAGGACGGCTGGGAGAAATTTAACATTACACTAACTGAATGCTAATGAAGATTTGGGGAAAAATGATATTTAAGTTTAACATTTTGTATTTAGTTTGTCATTTTGAGTATTATATTTTAGAAAACAAATGTGTTCCTTGTTTTGCAGCAGAACTTGTATTTAATTTCACACTAAATAGTAAATGCACAATCAGGTATCATCAAATATACTTACTATTTAAACGTTGCTTATGTTTAAAGCTAAGATTTTGTCACAGAAGTCACGGAATCCATGACTTCCAGAGAGCTCTAGGATATTTTCTGCTTCAGCCCCGGGGTGGCTGGCGGGGGGCACCGCAACTTTCACCCGCCACTGGTGGCGGGGGTCCCGCAGCTCCCAGCCACTCTGAGCGATGGGGGCCCCTTGCAGCTTGTTTTGTTGCATAGTATGGACGCTCTTTTTCAGTTCATTTGTTGTGTCAGTCTCTATTAGTATACCGTGTTCCACTGTGTGATCTGTCTGGAAAGCAGTTAGTACCAAAAAAAAAAAAAAAGCTAATTAATTGAAGAATCCACCTCTAGTCCCCAATCCTTCATGAAGAACTGCTAGCATGTACCCTTGTTCCCATTAAAGTCAATGGACTTCCCAGGGTCTGTGCTAATGGCTATAGAAGCCTCATAGTGGGCTTGATCCTGTACCATTGAAATTAATGGAAGTTTTGCCATTTATTTGCACTGACACAAGATCACACAGAGTGTTATTGCAGAAACCCTGTATTTCACATGGCAGAGCAAGGGTACACTGAGGTATCATTAAATACTGTAGCTGTTTAAGTATTCCAGGAAAAGCCTAGGGAAATGCACGGTAAATATTTTAGCTGCTTTATTTAAAATTAATTAGGAAGCATAGTAAGATGGTGTTTTTACTCCAAACTAATTTTGTAGCATTTGTGAGCATGCAATCCTCACATATGATTCAGTTACAATTTATGTTACTTGGGTTATTGACATATTTAAGATAAAGACTTTAATTTAGAGTTTTAACATATGTGCACAATTTTATGATGATTATACATTTTCTATGAATTGTGCTTCTTAATATGCTCATTGCTAATTATTTTATGAAATCTTTAATACAGTGAAAATGAGAGAGATCTTTTTGGATACCTATGCCAGTTCTAATAATCACAAAAAAAAAATCTCTGACCCTCTTATCACTCAAAAATTGTTTATGTTTTTGCTCTAGAACAGTTGTTGATTAGTGAATACAAAGCCTTGCTCAGATATTGTAGCTGTTAGCCATAAAATCTGATATTTCCTAACCTTCCTGTACAAAACCTGGAATGCAAATTTCTTCCTGTTTACTTTTTCAATCTTATACTTTGCATTATTTGTATTCTCTTAATTGTGAACGAATACATATACGTTGGGCCCGATCCTCAATTGGTATAAAGTGCCATTGATTTCAACTGAGTTATGGCAATTTACACAAGTTGAGGTCCTGGCCCAAGGTGTCTTACTTAGATTGGGCCCTAACTGCTTATTGTTGTATTTAAAGTCCCTAATTTCATACTCAAATCTGAATATGTTGATGATTTATCGGATTTGTTTAAAAGATAAAAAAATAAAGTTGCCATCTTCAGATAAGAATTATGATGTGGTCCTGCAGACACTTAAGCACCTAAGTAACTTTACATATGTGAGTAGTTCCACTGAGTTAAAATAATAAGCCTTGATCTTGCAAGTGCTGAATACTCTGGTTTTAATCTATTAAAGCATTTAACTTCAAACAATAAGAAGACCAATTGAAATTAATGGGGCTACTTCACATGCTTTAAATTAAGCATGTGCTTAAGTGTAGTGTTCCTCAGGACCAGAGTGTTAAGCAACTTGCTGGATCAAGCCCAAAGAGCATTGTGAGACCCCTACTTCAACATAACATGTTGCTGTCTGTATCTAGTGCTGTTGACTATGAGATTGGATACATAAATATTGAACAAAATATATTTTAAAAAAAGAATGAGGTGTCAATGAACAAACTACAGGATGGCAAGGATAGTGACATTCTGAATGCATGTAAATACACATGAAAATTACAAACTATGTCTACTGATAATTTCTCACCTTAAAACATAAAAGTCCTGGAATTTTGGTTTATGTTGATTTTCTAAATTTCTGAGGCACATTCATTATTGGAAATCAAAGTTGAAAAACAATTGGGATAAACGGGAAGCTTCAGTTTGTAATTAAATTGAATATACTGTAGTCTTTCAGCAACATTATGTCTGATTTTAAATCTAGTTATTGCTTTGTATGGTTTTTATCTATATCCCACTCCAGTAGTTTGCATTTATCTCTGCTCTTGCATACTGGAGCAATAACTGGTCAATTCTTTTAATTTTGAATATATGAGTTCATAAGTCAATATTGGCAGAGTATTTTTTCAGAAAAGTATACAATACCAAATTAGCTAACCCAGTGATAGTCAGACTGAGGCTCGGGAGCCGCAAGTGGCTCTTTAATATGTCTCCTGTGGCTCTTTGCAGCACATGCTATTAAAACACTAAGCGATTTAATTATAAACCAATCAGGCTGCTTTTACTATGTTACTAACCTATTGTAGTTGATGAAATAATACTTGGTCAGAATAATATATATATATTAAATGAAACAATTAATTCACACTACTGTGGCTCTTTTAGGTAATGTTGATCGCTAATTTGACTCCTGAACCACTGAGTTCTGAGTATCACTGAGCTAACCTATCATATTAAACAGAACAAGATTTGATTTTAATTTAGCATATATCTAGGATGACTGGATGACCCGATAAAATTGGGACTGTCCCGATATTTAACCCTTTGTCCCACTTCCCAGCCGATGTACGATCGGGATGCCATTTGTCCCGATATTCAGGTGAGAAGGTGGGTGGGGGAGTAAGGAGGGACATAGCAAGCCAGTGGGGATGAGGAGGTGAGCCGCGAGCCAGCAGCAAGCTGGGGGAGTCTCGTGGCAGGCAAGGGGGTCTGGCGTGGGAGTGAGGAGGCGAGCAGAGGGCAGGCATGGGGTGAGGAGGCTGGGGGAGGTCTCCCCCCAAGCCAGAATGCCCCCCCAGCCCCCGAGTCCCAACTCCTGGTGATCACTGAGCCTTTCCTTGAGGCTGGGAACAAAAGTCGCGTTTCAATTCAGCTGTCATCTGCAGCTCTTTGTGACCGGGCTTAGCACTGCACTGGATCCAAACCCACTCTTTGTGAATGAGCTCTGGGATCTGATCCAAAGTGAACTGAAGTTGTCCGTTTATTTTAAGGGGTGGGGGCTGCACCCCCCAGAAAGCTCTGCCATCCAGGAGACTCACTCTGCAGCGACAACAGAGAGGAAAACCCACCCCAGCCAAACGAGCCCGGGGGGCCTGCTGACTCCCAGCTGAGCCCCAGGGCTGGAGCGTTCCAATGGCTATTGGCACCCAAGGCTGAGTGACAGCCCTGGAGCGGGACCCCTCTGCGCTCAGGGTGCCCCTAAGAAGGGCTGGGTAGGGCAGCTCGCACCCAGAGCCAGGCAGGGAGTCTCTCTGGGCCAGCTCTGTGGATGCAGCAGAAGGGCTAGAACCGCCAGCTCTGAAATGAGATGCGGCTCCACTGGGGAGGCTGCTAGAAGCGGAGCATTGCCATTTCCAAGCTTTTCTTTCCCAGCCTGTTTTTACATGGGCAACCGGGGGGGAGGGTCAGGGGGAGGGGAGCTGGTGCCCTGCAGAGGTAATAGCTGCATCTACCCCCAGCAGAGCATGTGCAGACAGGCTGACCGAGCTCATGGTGGAGCCAGGGCTGCAGAGGCTGCTGCTGAAGCTCTGCACTTTCTGATTCCGCCCAGGGCAAGCCGGGGCTGAGTGCTGCTAAGCTGCTACCCAGGTCACTTACCAACACTGGTGAGCAAGGGCTGCACCTGGGGGGCGTGCACCTGACTCAACTCGGTGCGAGTGCCCCGCACATGGCAGCCTTGCTGTTAGCCTAGCTCCCTGACCCCAGCCATTCCCAAAGGCACACAAATCGTATGGCCTTGACATCTTGAGTGGCAATCCAGACACTGCCTCTCTGGGCACATGCAGCTGCTCTAAAGGGAACCAGAGTTTTCAGAAATTAGCCCCCTCCCCAGAATTATTTTACTACTGACAAACTCCTGCTGTCTCCTTCTGAATGCTCCATTCCAGAGGAAGGGCTCCAACTGTGCTCCAGTTATCACCCTGGCCTCAGTGGAGTCACTCCGAATTTGCACTGGTGTAAATGAGGGTAGAATCTGAAGTTTCAGGGGTGGATGATGCCTCAGCCTCTCGTTGATTCCCCAGCCTAGGCAGAGCGCGGGATTTGTGATGAAAGACACATTATCACACTGAAAAGATGAGCTCAGAAGTTACAAGTGTTAGGGTCATTACAGACTCCTAGAAAGTCCTCCCCAGTGAAGGTAAATATTTCTAACACACTGTCCTGAACTCAGGGCACAGGCTGGGGTGTGACTGTCGGCAGTAGGGATTTGCTCTGTGGGTTTTGCTTGATTCAAGATATTTAGGGCCAAATCCTGATATACAATCTTCCCTTGGGATCACATGTAGTAACCTGCTAGCATGATTAGGCTGCCAGGGTATACTGTGATTTGGAAACAATATAGCCTGTTCAAATCCATGTGGAGCTCAAGGATACCAAGAGGGGACATGGCTAAGGGGTAGGGGAAGGGAAGGGTGTATTAGGGGAAAGCCAGGACTCTCTATTGGCCTGACCCAAAGCCCATTCAAGGGATTATTATCATTAATCACTTATATTGTCTAACGGGGCGGGGGAGGGAGGGGCGGATGGTGGGGGGAGTGAGGAGGGACTCAGCAAGCTGGCAGTGGGCGGGGGGGTGAGGAAGGACGAGGAGGTGGGGTCTGGTGTGGAGCAGGAGCAGGGCCTGGGGTGGAGTGGTGGTGGGGCCGATGGCACCCCAATGTGTCCCTATATTTTATTGTTGCGATCTGGTCACCCTACGTAGATCAGTTCCTTTAGGATGTTTTTAAACCCATACAGATCTTTCCTCTACCACAACCTTTGCCAGTATTGGCCAAACTCAGGTTCCAGATTGGACACAGATTTTATACTCTAGTTGAAAAAATATTGATATAATAAGATTCCAGGCTTGTCACTCTGTCTGTATGTCACTCCGAAGCCTAGAATGTCTGTTGAGTCAGTGTGAAGCAATGGAAACGGCTATAAACATGGTTGAGAGCTCCTTTTCTTTAGAATATCACCAGGTTCAATTATTGCTGGGATTGATGGTCTGTTATTGTGAATATTTTAAATTCTCAGTACTTTTGACTTTACAAATTACACTTGTGTGGTGTACAGCTACAATAAAGCACATATCTATGCCAGTAGTATAGACCATTGTGATATCAGAATTAACTCAACCAATCACGCTATAGCTAAATTGCATGCAACCGTTTCATTGGTTGCAGAGGAGAGATTGCACAGATGGTGGATTATTTTGCCCAAC